TCTTTCTCTCTTTCTTTCTCTCTTTCTTTCTCTCTTTCTTTCTCTCTCTCTCACTCACTCTCACTCTTCTCAGCTGGCTGCCGGCTGATCGTCCCGCTGCTGCCATAATGGCCGTGAACACAAAAGTCCCGGGGATTGCGGGGCAGGGTGAAGTGAGGGGGAGGGGTGCCATTTGGGTGGCCTAACCGGCCGGGGCAACAGGCCGGACTGAAAAAATACCGTCCGCTTGTACACGCCATGAATCGTAGGTTTGTCTATCTCATTGACAGGAGAAGATCGTTTTCGGTTTGTCCCTTATTAGGGGGTCAAAAGTTCAAAAGTATTTCGCGGCACTTCACATCGAAACCTCATACCGTGTATATAAGCCCCCTCTAGTTACTAATAACCAAGAATTTCCAAAATATTTTAAAATGGATTTGAATTTTTACTTTAATCATTGTATAATATAATTTAATTCTTCACATGCAGCAGTATGCATTTAAACAAACCAAACTGCCGTTTGATCACATTAATTAGTTTCTTAAGGGGCGTTATTTGGAGTGTTTGTACACCACATTTTGAAAGTATGCCTGTGCAAGCCGCACATACGTTAAATTAAGATAAATATGCTAAACTCATAAATGCTGTTCTGCCTCATTTCGTCTGTGATTTTTGACGTCTCTGACCGTCTTTCTTTCTTTTGTCCGCAGGTCAGTGACTCGGTACTGCACGCGGGAACCGACGGAGACTGGTCGTTGCGTCACATTACGACGCGTGCCTCACCTTGGAGCGCCCTGCGTACGACCGGTAGGCTCCACACGTATCAGGCGTGACGTTCGGGCTGCCTACCCCGCCCATGGCAGGCTGACGGCCTGATACCCAGGGGGTGGTTGGTCTAGCACATTCGTTTCCATCTTCTCTTGGAAAAATTGGCGGAGGTTTATGCGAAAATTTTCGACGGCGTGGGCCGTACAATTTCAATTTGAAATTGTAAATTTACAAGCACTCCGTGTTGACTTCGAATTGATCGAAAAGGAACAATAGGGAAATTTACAACATTTTGTGGCTGTGGCTGTCTCTTTCCGTGGTCAAGTCAGTTCAAGTTGTCAGTTCCTAGGCAAGTCAGTTCCCAGGAAAGTCAGCTCAAGTTGTCAGTTCAGTCTCGTTGTCAGCATCATGCAGTGACGCCATCGCATTCTGTAAACAGTGTTTAGTCAACCAGATGGAAATTTGCATCTAGTGTCAAGATATGCTGCAGGCCTCCGAGCACTATAAATCGGGATGTTCTGGTCAACAATATAAACAAAGTAAGAGATGGACTTAAGCACACATCGTTTAAGGGTGACTAAGACAGACGCTGTTACGGCAGGTGGGTCAGCTCGCGTTGGAGACGGAGGCTACCAACCGCCTCCGGCTAGTTCGGTATTCATCGGACGATTTCCCGAAGATTCACTCTCAACCACTTGTAAATAATCCTAGTGGATTTCGTTCCTTATAGCTTATAAGTGGTTATAAGTAATTACGGCCAAAGGAGGTCTGAGTCACTCATATGCTTACAAGCTCTAGTCGACAACTTAAGTTGTCATTCTCGACGTAGATCTACGCGATTTTGGGCTATCCATGAAATTTTTCGGTAGCACGACTTTATCATCTTTACGAAGGCCTTTAGGAAATGCCAAAAGACTTTCCATTTAGTTCACGACTACTTTTGCTACGCCCCACCTTTTTTTTAACAGTGTTCCACATAAGGCTCCATGTGCGGCCCGCCTTTGGCCCGCTTGACGTCACTGAGTCGGGGCCATATGCAGCCCGGAGTCCACCCTGCTAAAAAAATCCTCCCCAAGAAATAATTTTTGCAAACGCTTTGAAAATGGAACGGCATCGATTCAGCTGCCTAATAACGTACACGGTAATAACAATGCCTGATTGCTTGAGGAAAAGGGAAAAACTTCAAGGAAGAGAAAATCTTCTAAAAAATACGATAATTTTCTATTGTTTTCAGAACATATCCTCAAAATCTGGGGACTTTGTTCTTATATATGTTAAAATGTCAAGTGTTGGCTTATTATCGTATCGTGTTATTAACGCATCGCTTTAAGAACACTTTATGAGATTGCATGCAATATTGCCAAGTCTTCAAACGATACGATCAACCGTGAGTAATAAGCCAAAACTATACACTATTTTTCAAGTTCAATTTTAGATGTTGTGTTTGCTCAGACGTTTTCTCGGAACATTTAACAAAAAGAGCTACCTTGTGCACCGTTGGCTTAGTACTAAATAAAGTTCATGTGGTCATTGTAATTGGGCCATAGAAGAAAAAAAATGCCACAGCATCTAGGTCTTATATCATTTTATTTTCGATGATGGTAGGAATACTAGACATGTGTGTACTACAACGCACACAAATCGATGGCAGATGAAACAAAACACACGTTCACATTTAAACGTTCACTCACATTCACACATTCGCACGCCTCTCTGGAGATCTCTGCTGTCTATCACTGTTCACAGTCGGGTTCAGCGAGGCTTGATGACTATTTCGCACACTTTAGTGGTGGTAGGTGGTGTAGGGGGAGGAGTAGGATGCAACAGCCACGGCCGGGGCGGCGGAGTAGGCAACCTTAGCGATAGGGGCGGCGTAGGCAGCGGGGGCGGCGTAGGCGACGGGAGCGTGGGCGACGGGGGCGTGTGCGTAGGCAGCGGGGGCGGCGTAGGCGACGGGAGCGTGGGCGACGGCCTTCACGGCGACGGCGGGGCCATCCTTGTGCACGACGGCGTTGAATCCGTTGACGGGGTCGGCGGTGTACTCGACGGTACGACGGCTGCCGTCGGGCTCGACGAGGGAGTAGGAGCCCTGGACGACGTCACCCTGGCGAGACTCCTGCTGGTTCTTGTTGTCGCCGGTCAGGGAGTCGTGGATGTCGTAGTTGTAGTTGTAGCTGGGGTTCGGGTCGTAGTCAGTGTCGACGGCCTTAGCGTAGGCGGGGGCGGCGGCGTACGCCACGGGGGCGTGGGCGTAGGCGGGGGCGGCGGCGTAGGCCACGGGGGCGGCGGGCAGCACGCCGGCGCGGGCCACGGCCACGAAGGCGGCGAAGACGACGAACTGCTCAACAGAATTGTAAACGGTTAGCATTGTCTTCCACATAAGCTAAGTGAGCTCTACTGCCAGTGTGCTTGGTGTGTAACCTACCTTGAATGCCATGGTGCTTGCTCGGTGCAGCTTTTGCTGGGTGTGATGCCCGGCTTGGGACGTCCGCCGGTTATATACTCGTCCCGCCCGGCGGCCGCCTCCCGCGCTGCCCATTGTGCTCTGCCGGCTCTCCCCCACCCAGGCGTGCGGGACCCGCGTGCGGGTGGCCAGTGCGGAGCAGGTGGGGTGGACAGGGCAGTTTGTGAAGGACCATCACCCCGCAGAGATGCATATCTCCCTTCCCTCAATGAAGTTTTGACGAATATGCATACTGTCGCTCGTATTTGAACTGGGAATTCTTATGCGATCAAAACCATTTTATTATTATTTTTGTGTTTTTCGGGCGTGGGGGGATATAATAGTACGTCCGATTAGTAAGTTGTTTGTTTTTGACTGGACATCGGTTGCTCTCTTCGTAGCGTCATCCCTTTTAAAATGACTAGAGTGCCCTGGGAGTGCCCTGGGAGTGCCCTGGGAGTGCCCTAGGCGTGCCCTGGGAGTGCCCTAGGCGTGCGTGGATCGAGGGCGACGTGAGTGCGTTGAGACGTCGAAGCGGGTATGCGACGCGAGTTCGGCTGAGTAGCGGGTGTCCTGCGAGTGCGGCACGAATGTGGCGGAGAAGTTCTACACTTTTAGCACCGCCTATGCACCAACCCTGTCGAGCACAAACGTGCTGCACTCGCAGCGTAGGGCACTCCTAGGGCAGTCAATTCATTTCATTGGGGTACTTGATGGAGATATTAAAAATTCGTGTTTCTGGAGCCAATGTCTGGCCGAGCTTCTCTGACCTCGGGGGTGGTGGTTTTCCCAAATTATCGCCACCCCCGTTAGTGATATTGCTGATAGCACCCTGTCGGGGACCACCGCCCCCTCTTGTTCGTGCTAACGGGCCAAGTCTGCTCACAGCCCGCCCCGCGCACGCCTCGCCGTGCCCGAGTGATGCTCTTGCAAAATAATCCGGTTTTCTGGTCCGAAGGCACACAGGACCGGTCGGAGGCGCACACTGCCCCGCCTCGGGGCCCACCTCACCACGCCGAACCCATGACTGGACCCAGGGGACCCAGCCTGATAGTGTGCTCGCCACTGGCCCAGTTTTTGGTCCCATTTCTGTCCTCAATGTCATTGGCTCCGAGGCCATTTGGGGTGGCTGAGCTGTGCACATTTGTAAGAAAGACTATATTATGGGTTTTGTGAGGACTTGAGTAATTGTGATATGAAGTTTGTGAGATTGTCTTATTTTGCAATTAGAGTGTTTCAGTTAAATTTACAGCTGAAGGGTCGAAGTAGAACATGTCAGGTTTAGTACAACAATTTATTTATTGTTTTAAAATTTAACATTGAGAACAGATCATTCTGTTCAAGGCCATGGTAGACTGCCAGAGCTGACTTGGCTAATGCTGCTCGCTAAACCGCATAGAGCCCTTTGTTTGTCTTGATTTGTTATTTGAGACAAGGGCAGGACATGGCGGCTGGCCGCCTCTCGGAATGCATTTCGAATATCGTTCGCGATAATTTTTCATACCCGTCCAGCCTGTCTGATCAGCCCAAATACGGGGTGTGCGCCTGCGAAGGCCTTGAGTGGGTTTCGACTGCTACACTGCCTCTTGTAGGGCGATTTAAAGGCACATGCCACCTGCTTATTTTGATTTATTTTAATTTTTGACATTACTTTTGAGATTTGAAACACGGACACACAGTTTAAAAACATTGCGGCATGTGTTTCGTGACTAAAAGCGATAGGCCTAAAAAAGTAATGACGGTAGTGACTTAGTTTTACGTTTTTAGAAGGAGATATGCGTTACCGGCGGTGGTAGGTGGCGGCGGAGCTGGCGTAGTGCACCAGGCCTGGGGCGGGAGCGTAGTGCACAGGCTGCACGACGTACTTAGGAGCCTGGGCCTCCTTGCGCACGACCGCGTTGAAGCCGTTGACGTCGTCGGCGGTGTAGTCGACGATGCGGCGGGTGCCGTCCGGCTCGTCGACAGAGTAGGACCCCTTGACGACGTCGCCGCTGCGGCTCTCCACCTGGCTCTTGGAGTCACCCGTCAGGTCATCTTGGACGTCGTACGAAAACTTGTACTCGGGGTGCGGGTCGTAGTCGAGGGACTTGGCGGCCAGGGCGATGGGTGCGGCAGCGGTGTAGGTGACGGGTGCCACGGGAGCCGCAGCGGCGTAGGCAACTGGTGCGTCAGCTACGTAGCTTACAGGGGCAGCGTGCTCGGCGGGGGCGTAAGACACGTGGTCGGCGTGCTCAGCGGGGACTGCGTAGGGCGCGGGCGCAGCGGGTTCAGCGTAGATAACAGGGTGGCCGTGTTCCGCGTACCCCGCGTATGCGAGGGGTTGTGGAACTACGCCCGCCCGTGCCACCGCCAGCACCCCTACTGCCACCGACAGAACCTGTTCGGCGGTAAATGCAAACTGTGAAAGTCAAGAGTGTGGCACAGTGTCAAATCTGTGGCATTTTGGTAAACTGTCGTAAGTCGACTTATGTCACAAAGTCTATTTACAATAAGTCATACTCAGCAGGTCAAACTGAGCATCACTGTAAATGGGTTCGCGTCTTTTGACGCCAAAACATTGGCATCTTATGACGCCAAATTCTGGCGTCTTATGACGCCAAATTTGGCGTCCTATGACGCCAAATCCTAAAAAAAAATCTTTTACTGGACGCCCAGAATTGGCGTCTTATGACGCCAAAATTTGGCGTTCTATTGAGGACGCCAATATTTTGGCGTCATAAGACGCCAACCCATTTACAGTGATGAATCAATTGAAAATAGACTTTGTGACATAATTTTACTTCCGACAGTTTGCCCAAATTACCCAGAAATCTCAACTTTTCTGCAAAGCCTCATTTTTGTTTTCAGTGCACGTGATGGCATATTTCTTTATCTAAGACAACCTAGGATGCAATCGTCACATTAATTTTCGTGTAACTTTAAAGAGGGACTTTAAAATTTACTAGGCTTTTCCCGGATGAAGTAATATCACGATGTAAGCAGTGTGACAGTTTTTATATCTTAACCATGAATTCCCCGAATGTGCGAGGCAATTGTTGTAATCAAAGCGAGTACTTCCAATGAGTTTGAGTCGTTTTCACCGAATTCTTTCCGTAAGCGATTGTGGTTTTTCTGACCTTGCCAAATTGTGATAGTAATCGAGGAACGCCATTCATGCATTGGGTGAGGACCATAAATTATGAATCAAATGGACTGAGGAAAGTAATTGTAACTCTGAGGCAGAAGACATGTTGGGGATAGTGATGTCGAGATCTGACTTTAGTATTCACAGTGTTGCAAGTTTGTAGAAAAGTTATAGTGAAATGACACCACAAATTATATGAAGCGCTTCTCACCACTCTAATAGAATTCAGATGGTTGAAATAATCGTCGTATGTAAACTTAAAAACTGCGGTTCACTTTGTAACTCAATGGGGCTTACCTTGAGCATTGCCATTTTTGAAGTCCTTCTTCGTCTCCAGCTCCAATGGAACTCGCTCCTAAACACGAATGGACGCCCTATTTATACACTTTCCTAGCCCTTTTCTCTGAACCAGGGCCCTTGCCCTTCCCCTTCCCTTCAAGATCCCTTTAGACCAGCGCCTCCCACTCCTCACCCTTCTCTCCATGTTCTCTTCTTCTTCTACTACGATTTGTTATGCTGTTAGACTAAGAGTTCTCTACCATGCGCCTCCTGCATCTTAAAGGTTGCGTCCGGAAACAGAGGCGCTGCAAAAGCTGCAACTCGGACCATGGAAGTAACGGACGCAGCCGCGGCAGCGCTTCCTTTCTTCTTCCTCCTCCTCCTAGTCTCCGCTTCCCCCTCCTACTGACTTGGCGCTCACTCTCGCTTTCGTCGTGCCTTTCCTTCTTCGGGCCGGCTGGCGCTCCCCACCCTCTCTTTTCCCTTTCCTCTGGACCGGCCGCCGCCCGGCTGTGCGACCGTGACCTTGGAGTGGCGCTCACGTAATACTCGGCTGCTCGTCTACAAATACGCCTCTCTCGAGTACTTTGAACCGTAACGCTGGTAAATTACGCGCGTGTGAGAGACCGAATTATAAAATGCATACGAGGGGGAAATAACTCCCCATCTAAGTGCGCACCCCTATTTTTGTCTTATTGAAACTTATTCAAACCAATTCAACTTAATTCAATTAAGAAATAATTTAAACCGATTGAAAAACAATTCAAGCAATTAAGTCCAGTTCAAGCCAATTCAAATTCAACTATCGTAATTTACACACATCATTGAGGTGTTATTTACGAGTAGCATATTACTATCGAAATCGCTTTGTATAATAAGTGTCTGCCTACACGCCTGAAGAAATAGTAAATCGCGATGTGACATAAAAGCCTGTAGGCACAGAACCCGAAGTGAGTCACCAAGGGCACTGTTAAATTATTGCACATAAATTATTTGCGAACGGTCCGAAAATTATTGCGATGGATTCAAATGCCACGTACACTAATCACTTTTTGATTTCCGCGGTATGTATTTTGTTCGAGGCCATTTGAATAAAATTTTAGAGGCTTCATGCTATGCCAGTATAATTGTTACTACTTGATGCCTCACCAAACGGTTACAAGTCGTTCCCTCATTGCCTTCTTTTCCTGGCACCATTCCAGTCTTCGTCTGTCTAGGAGTAGGTATCCCGCAAGTTCAAGTTCAACGGACTCTTGCGTCGAGCAACTATACCCCGCGCCGGAGCAGCATTCGCAATCTCCTGGTCCTGAACGACGGTAGCGAGGGGTATCGCCGTTCGCCCCTTCTCGGCAAAATGACCTGGTTTCAAATGAAACGAAAAATATTATGGTCTGCTTCAACGGGAGGAGACCTCAACGCGCGCGGGGTATCGCTCTGACCGGATCTTGACTCCACAAAGCCCGCTCGGCCACATTCGCCAGCACGGTGGGTATCGCCGAATGTGATTTTCGCTCGCGCGTGGGGTAGTTTCAGCGTGACAATGCTCACGTACTGCGCCACCCAGGCCGTTGCGCAATAGCACGTAATGCACTCTGTCCAACCACGCGGCCTCTCTTGTCAGGCGCAATGGCCGGGCTGGCCGTGCGCAGGAGGTCGTCGACCGCGACTCTTTGGAAGGAACCGCGGTGGGGAGGTAGAGGAACGGTAAGGACAGTCAGTGTCAGTGCTAGTGGGCCACCGCAGGACTGGAGCAGACTGGCGCATGGTGGCGCAGGGCTGGAGGGATGCTCTCGATCCCCTCCTCCATGCATTCGCGCCTATTCAAGTTTAAAATTGTGGTTTTTATTTATGTGCCACGAACCAAAACTAGACGCATAAACTACAGGCAAACTTCGTAGAAAAAAACACCTGTTTTGTTTGAAGGTTTTTCGGCACAAAACTATGACAAATTACACGAAAAAAAAGAATTAGCTGTCACAACCAATAAATTACACTGTTTAAATATTCGTTGTAAATTTACAACACATTTGATGTAAAGTTTGATAGCAACAAATGTTG